AGCTGATCAGCACATTCCTTCAACACTTTTCCGGGGATGTTGTCTGGGCCAGTTGCTTTGTGCGGATTAATCCTCCTGAAGGTACTCCTTACTTCTGCTGAGGTCACGCTGAGATGCTCTTCATCGGGTGGTGAGGTGAGTCTGGTGCTGCGTGGTCTGTTCAGGTCTTCAAAGCGTGCATAGAACTTATTGAGGGCATCAGGCAGAGATGGGTCTTTGGGGCATTGTTCGCTCCTTCCTTTATAATCTTTTATGCACTTAATGCCCCTCCACATGCTCCGAGGGTCTTGTGAGATGAATTGACCCTCGATCCTCTGTGCATATGTGGCCTTGGCCTTCTTAATACCAGCAACCAGCTCTTTCCTTGTCCTACTCAGCTCCTCTGAGTTTCCAGACCTGAAGGCAGTGATATAGTGATAGTTATAGAACTCCTGTTCTGCCTGGACTTCTGATTAATGGGCACATTACAAATAACAAACTTAAAAATTTTAAAATTAGGGAATTTTTTACTAATACTCTGTTTCCCTTTGTATCTAACCCACATTTTATTTCACATTTCTTTTCAAAGGGTCAAAAGAAAAAAAATAGAACAAATTATTTAAATCTTCCCATTCCTCCAAAAGCCAAGAAAGTCCACTTGAAAACATTTTCAGGGGTTTACCCCTCCAGGGAATTCCTCAGACTTTGTTTTGCAATTGATAATAATACTTGTTCATTTTGTGATGATAATATTGAATCAACAGAACACATTTTCTATGAATGTATTATTGTAAAGCTTTGTGGGATCATGTGCACTACTGGCTTTTCCCTAAAATTCCAAATTTATGGGAATTTGCCAAGAATGACATTATTTTTGGATCCCTGTGAAAAGGAAAAGATCTTGAAATGTTATTAAATGTAATTATTGTTATGGGCAAATATTTCATTCACAAGTGCCGTTTCCTTAAAACAAAACCATCATTCCCCACTTTTCACAAGGAACTCTGCCACCTCTTCTTATCTATGAAGTTCATGGACAAACATCAAGGTGTGGAGTTGTTTCATATGATAAACGAACTGAAACTACTGGAAAACCCCTAGTGTTTAATTTAATTTTTTTTGTTATTCTATTTGATTCTTGTATTATTATTATTATTTTTTAATTTATTAAAATTATTAGTTCTTTGTGTGTTTGGAAGCAACCTGTGCTGGCTTTTTCAAATTCAAATATCTCTGATATCGATGCCATATTTGTTGTAAATGCTGTTAATAAAAACAAAACAAACAAAAAACCAGCCTGCCTGCAGTTCATGTTTGACCGGTAGGTGGCGGTACAGCCTCCAATGGCGGTTTTAACCGGAAGTAAAGCCAACAGAGAGACTGAAGAAGCTAGAAGTTCAGGTGAATCTGTGTGGTTGATTCGGGTCAGGTTAGAGCAAAACAAATAATCAAAATAAGCCAGGAGAATGTTCGGAATCTGTCTGCGAGGAGCTCGGTCCACAGCCCGGGTAAGACTTCTGCCGCCTTGTGTCATTCAGTGACCCGCAGCTGCAGCTCAAGGTTTCACACCGAGTCCAACGTGTAGAACTGAAGTCTAGAGGTCACAACTTAACTTCTCTTTGCGTTGGAGCTAGACTAACGTGTATATAAATAAAGGTTGAAAAACTTCACCTCAGTGCGAGTAAAATGCATATCGCCCGCCTCTCAGCTCAGAGTTTTGGACGTGGACCCTCAGAGGAGAAGTGACATAGTTGTAACAGTTTAAAGTTAACGTGCTGCGGAACCTCGTCAGGTATCGCGAGATCATGACACGATCATTAAACATTAGGGATGACCCTCACCCACTACCACGTTCAATTCAGCTCTGACTTAGCTGTCATAAGGTCACAACTGTGGAAGCCATCTTGACTCATGTTGATTCAAAAGTTAGTCAGGTGTTAACGTACATCAAATGATTATTTTCTGAGAAATTCATTAAAATCTATTCACTGGATCTTGAGCTATTTTGTTAACAGACTAGTTATGATGGAGCCCTGCAGTTTAAAGCTCTGACTCCGTTTTTCCAGCAGTGGAAACAATGACGATACTCAGAATGGTGGTAATGGTTGAAGTCATGCTTCACATTCCCACCCACATTTTGATTTTGTCAGGGTCAGGAGTCGAACCGGTGATATTCCTATCACAGGTCCACCTTCTCTAGCCTCTGCACCACCACTCCCCTGTAAGATCTGAGCTTATTAAAACAAAAAGCAACCAGATTTACATGACTTGAAGCCGAGTATTCCACAACACATACTCTGAGCAAAACATCTTATAAAATATCCTGTCTATATCCTGTATATATCCTGTATATATCCCATGAGACTGAGCATAAAATAATGTAGGATTTGAACAAGATGAACTTGGACTGAAACTCTGGCCTGAAAGGTGGCGGCCGGGTGATGTTCATTTCTTCCAGGACTGTTAAGCATTTATTGTAGACTGACCTTGGGAAGAGGGTCTTCTCTTACTCCGCTCCTGTATCCTGGAACACCTTGAACAAAGATCTGTAGTTGTCAACCTTGACCTCTTTAAGTGATTTTAAGCATCTGCTAAGTTCCTTCTACAAATCAAATCCCTCTTATCTTCTACAAATCAAATCCCTCCTAAAAGTCAAATCACATTAATCACACCTTCTCTTTTTCTCCGTTCTCAGTCAGTGAGGTAAATAAACTGTTAAAAAAGTCTTGATCCTAAAAAATCTGCAGAACCAAATGAACTTCCACCTTATTTCTTAAGGCTGGCCGCTCATATCATCACAGTCCCTGTGACCTACATCTTTAATCTCTCCATAAGCCAAAACTCCATTCCAGATGCTTGGAAAACAGCCTTTGTGATTCCTTTGATGAAGGGAGGTGACTCCACCTCACTGAACAACTATCGGCCAATCTCTAAACTGCATTTTAGCCAAGGTTCTAGAAAAACTGATAAACTCTCAAATCAAAAATTACTTGGACTCATTTAACATCTTACCTCGCCAACAATCTGGTTTCAGGAAACAACACAGCACAACCACTGCTTCACTGAAGGTTCTTAATAACATTGTTGAAGCACTGGATGCTAAGGATTATTGTGCTGCACTTTTCTTAGACCTGTCTAAAGCTTTTGACACTGTGGATCATAACATCTTGTGTCATAAGCTCTCCGTAATCGGTTCCTCAGAACACACCATTGGTTGGTTCTCCAACTATCTCTCAGACCGGAGGCAATGTGTTCAACATAATGGTACTTCCTCCAGTTATTTAACAGTCAACAATGGTGTACCACAAGGCTCAGTCTTAGGACCCACCCTCTTTACAATCTACATAGGTAATGTAGGTCAAAACATCCCTGATGCATCCATACATTTCTGTGCTAATGACACAGTTGTTTATTGCTGAGCTAAAACCGTTGAAAAGGCTTTCCAGCTTTTGAAATCGGCATTTAACATCATCTAGACAGATTTGTTCCGCCTCAAACTTGTCCTAAATGCCGACAAAACCAAAGGGATGCTTTTTTCAAATAGGAAGTTGGTCCCAGCAGTTCTTCCTCTGATTTCATCCTCAAATGGTGTCCCGATTTAGTTTGTTGTTTCCTATAAATATTTGGGTATTTTGGTTGACTCGCATCTCTCTTTTAAGCTCCATGTGGAAAACCTAGTAAAGAAACTGAAAGTTAAACAGGGTTTCTTTTTCAGAAACAGATCATGTCTAACTCTGAATGCTAGGAAACGCCTTGTATCTGTGACCTTCCTTCCCTCCATTGATTACGTTGACATTATTTACATGAACGTTCCTACAAGCACCCTGTGGATGTTGGATGCTGTCTATCACGGTGCACTAATATTCATAACTGGCTGTGAGTATCATACCCACCACTGCACCCTGTATTCACTGGTTAACTGGACATCATTAACTTCACGCAGACTCTCTCACTGGTACATTTTCATCTTGAAATCACTTCTTGGTCTGCTGCCTTCAGTGCAGCTACAGCGTGCACTCTCAGGACATTATTACCTGCAGTGTTCCCTTAATGAGGACTGAACTAGGCAAAAGGGCCTTCTCCTACTCCGCTCCTGTTTCCTGGAATATCTTACAAAAAGATTTGAAGCTCTCGACCTTGACCTCTCTAAGTGGCTTTGAGAATCTGTTGGACTCCTGGCAGGGACCAATGCAGACATGTTCCTGTTTTTAGTTTTCTACATTTGCCTTATAATCTAGCTGTTTTTTTGTTACTTTTTTTTAGCCATCTTATTTGTAAAAAAAAAATCTGTATGCCTTTTTATAACTGTCTATTGTTGTCGCTGTTATCCATTGTTTTCATCATTCTTTGTTGAAATTAGGTCTCTCTTGTAAATGAGTCCTCAGGGCTCAATGTGATTTACCTGTCTAAATAAAGGTTGAATGAAAAAAGTACTTGGCAAAAACCAACAGACGTTCCTGTTTTAGTATTCTTTTTCATTCAACCTTTATTTATACAAGTTAATTCCATTGAGTCCTTGTGGCTCAATGAGACTAACCTGCGTAAAAAAAGTTTGAATGAATGATTGTTTTTTATGACAACATACCTCTATTTTGGTTTCTTCCACACTCCTGACTCTTCTCACCAAAGACTGACATGTTTATAACCTAGTGAAATGTCTTAATTTTCTTCAAAAACAGTTTGTAAATGCAGGTTTTCTTCTTTTTGACCAACATTCATACTATTCTGCTCTAGAAAAGAGGAAATCTCACATCTAATGGTTTGAAGTGACTTCACTTTTATGCAGGTGTAGATTCTCTGTCATCCAGGACGATGATACAGAAATTTTGGGACGTTTTGCAAAATGTTAATTTAACAGTGAATTCAGTGATATAAACTCTTATGTCAATCACAACAAAACACAGTAAACAGATCAGATGTAAGTTGTTTTACCAGACCAGACATCTAGACTTGCACTGCTCGGGTAGTAGCTCTGTTACATTCATTCTGAGATTTTGCTTTTGGAAACTTTCTGGATGTAAATCACATTTTCTGGATGATTGTTTCCTCTGGTGGGCTGCACGGTGGCGCAACTGGTAGAGCTGCTGCCTCTCAGCGAGCAGGTCCTTGGTTCAAACCCTGGTCCAGGGGCCTTTCTGGGTGGAGTTTGCATGTTCTCTCCGTGCATGCATGGGTTTTCTCCGGGTGCTCCGGTTTCCTCCCACAGACCAAAAACATGCATGTTAGGCTGATTGGTAACTCTAAATTGTCCCTAGGTGTGAGTGAGAGAGTGAATGGTTGTTTGTCTCGTTTGTCTCTATGTGGCCCTGTGATGGACTTGCTACCCGTCCAGGGTGTACCCCGCCCCTCGCACAGTGATTGCTGGACATGGGCACCGGCGACCCCCGTGACCCAAAATGGAATAAGCGGGTAAAGATAATGGATGGATGGCTGTTCCCTCTGGTATTAGATTCAGTGCAACTGTAATGATTTTTACCAAAACTTTTTTTACTTTGGGACATTTGTTATGATGCGTAACAAGATGGTTTTTACAACCAGGAGCTGCTGATTACCATTTCAAATATCAAATAATATCTCAACTATTACCCAAACTTTCAAATGAGTTGAAAAGGAGACGCGGTAGATGCATTCTCGTCTCCTTGCCGGCTGTGCTTGAGTGCCTGACTGCTGAAATTCTGGAACTGGCAGGAAATGTGACTCGTGACAGCAGAAGGACCAGGATCGTCCTCCAGCACCTGCAGCTGACTGTCCGCAGTGACGAGGATCTCGGCAGGCTACTGGGAGGAGTGACCATATCTCTGGGAGGAGTTCTGCCTGGCATTCGGGCGATCCTGCAGCCCAGGGGAACCGAGAGGTCAGCTGAATCTGGGTGGATGGATCAGATGGCATCTGCTGCCATTTTCTTCTGATCCGCTGTGGGACGGACCTTTGCAGGAGATCCTTCCTGCCTACAGCCATCAGCATCTATAACACCTCAATGAAACGAGGATGAGTTACAACAACATTTAATTTCTCTTTGGGATTAATAAAGTATATTGCACTGAATTGAATTGAATTATGAACACAAATTATGTTAAGGCTCGAGGTTCAATGGGATTTACCTGTCTAAATAAAGGTTGAATGAATGTTAATTGTAAACAGGTCAGGAATAAAAAGAGCTTTTTAGAGACTGGATTTCTTAGAAGTAAAGATGGGCAAAGGTTCACCAATCTGTGAAAAGTTGTCTAAAATTAGTGGAACAACTTCAGAATCATGTTCCTTAAGAAACTTTAGAAAACATTAAATTTGCATCATCTACAACTCATGTTCTCAACAGATTTAAAGAATCTGTAGAGATTTCTGAGGGACAAGGCTGAAAGTTAACATTAGATGGTCGTTGTCTTCAGACCCTCAGGAACCACTGCTTTAAAGCCAGGTCTGGTTCTGTTTTGGGCTCAGGAACTTTTTCACAGACCGCCTGTAAACACTGCTCACTGGGCCGTCCACACATGCTGCTTAAAGCTCTATCATACACAGAGGTTGTATGTGAACACCGTTTGGAGACGCTGCGGTCTTCTCTGGACCAAGGTTCGTTTGAAATGGACAAAGTGTAAAACTGCGCTGTGGTCAGACAAAGCTAAACATGACATTTATTTTGAAAATCATAGATACCACGTCCTTCATACTAAAAGAGGAGAGGGACCATTCAGACTGTTATCATCACATAGTTCAAAAGCCTGCCTCTGCTGGTGTGGGGGTGCATTATTGTCTCTGGCATGTACAACTGACAAAATCAATGCAGAAAAGTATCTACAGATTTTAGAACATCTGGTCCCATCTAGCAGACATCTTTTTCATAGAAGACCTTCATCAAGACCATGTTCAACCACATCCTGCATCGTTACAGCAGCATAGCCTCATTTGTAGTAGAGTCCAGGTGCCTGCAGTCCTGACCTCACTGAAGAAGACCGAGGACTGTCAACAGTTAGAACGAGACTTCCCCCCCCCCCAAAAAAAACTCCAAGATCCGGTCTCATTTTCCTCAACGTCCCAGTCCAGTCAGAGCTGTGGTTGTGTTTACAAACTGAATTAAGTCAGCTGGACTAACAGGAATGATTGTCAGGAGTTAATGGCGTATTTAACTGGAGCAGTAGTTTTAATTTAATACATTTTACAGCCTGTTATGGTCCCTGACTGTACAAACCGGATTCCAAAAAAGTTGGGACACTAAACAAATTGTGAATAAAAACTGAATGCAATGATGTGGAAGTGCCAACATCTAATATTTTATTCAGAATAGAACACAAATCACAGATCAAAAGTTTAAACTGAGAGAATGTATCATTTTAAGGGAAAAATCTGTTGTTTCCAAATTTCATGGCGTCAACAATTCCCAAAAAAGTTGGGACAAGTCCATTTTTACTACTGTGTGACATCCCCACTTCTTCTTACAACACCCAACAGACGTCTGGGGACAGAGGAGATCAGTTTCTAAAGTTTAGAAATAGGAATGCTCTCCCATTCATGTCTAATACAGGCCTCTAACTGTTCAATCGTCTTGGGTCTTCTTTGTCGCACCTTCCTCTTTATGATGTGCCAAATGTTCTCTATAGGTGAAAGATCTGGACTGAAGGCTAGCCATTTCAGTACCCGGATCCTTCTCCTACATAACCATGATGTTGTGATTGCTGCAGAATGTGGTCTGGCATTATCGTGTTGAAAAATGTAGGGTCTTCCCTGAAAGAGATGACGTCTAGATCTGTTGTTCTAGAACCTGAACATAGTTCTCTACATTAATGGTGCCTTTCCAGACATGCAAGCTGCCCATGCCACAAGCGCTTATGCAACCCCATACCATCAGTGATGCAGGCTTCTGAACGGAGTGTTGATAACAACTTACTCTCTGGTCCGGATGACATGGTGTCCCAGTGTTCCATAAAGAACTTCAAATCGTGACTCATCTGACCACAGAACAGTCTTCCATTTTGCCACACTCCATTTTAAATGACCCCTGGCCCAGTGCAAACGTCTGAGCTTGTGGAGCTTGCTTAGAAATGGCTTCCTCTTTGCACTGTAGAGTTTCAGCTGGCAATGGTTGATGGCACGGTGGATTGTGTTCACTGACAATGCTTTCTAGAAGTATTCCTGAGCCCATTCTGTTATTTCCTTGACAGTGGCATTCCTGTTTCAGGTGCAGTGACGTTAAAGGGCCCGGAGATCACGAGCATCCAGTAGAGTTTTACGGCCTTGACCCTTACGCACAGCGATTGTTCCAGATTCTCTGAATCTTTTGATGATGTTATGCACGGTTGATGATGATAACTTAAAAGTTTTTGCTATTTTACGCTGGGTAACACCATTCTGGTATTGCTGCACTATCTTTCTGCGCAACAATGGTGGAATTGGTGATCCTCTTACCGTCTTGGCTTCTGAGAGACACTGACACTCTGAGAAGCTCTTTTTATACCCAATCATGTTGTCAGTTGACCTAATTAGTGTTAATTGGTCTTCCAGCTGTTCGTTATATGCTCAGTTTCCTTTTTCCAGCCACTTTTTGCTACTTGTCCCAACTTTTTTGAGATTTGTTGACACTGTGAAATTTTGAATCAACATATTTTTCCTTTAAAATGTTACATTTACTCAGATTAAACGTTTGATCTATCATCTATGTTATATTACGAATAAAATATTGACATTTGCCATCTCCACATCATTGCATTCAGTTTTTATTCACAATTTGTTTAGTGTCCCAACTTTTTTGGAATCTGGTGATGATATGTAAAGCTGTTTCCTGCACTAATGGTTCATTGTTCGCTGCTTCTCTTCAGAGGAACTGTGGCAGACTAACTAATCAGCAGCTCTGCAGGCACTACACAACAGGACAGAGCAGGTAATGCTCACACCTCAGAGCATGTTTCTAACACACGTGTGTACACATGATAAGTGTTTCCTTTCTGTCCCGCCTTCCTCCATCACAATAGTGCTTCTAAAGTGGTCGTTGCTGGCTTGTTGACGGTGAGTGGTGGCATTGGAGGCACACTTCTTTACGCCAAATGGGACCACAAGTTCAGAGCTGTGGTGGAGAAAAATGTCCCGTATTCAGACTGGCTGTTCGGCCTGGCTCTGGGACCTGCTCCTCAAGAAACTGGTCTTCCTTTCAAAAAGCAGGTAAGAACATGAGCCAGTGAATAAAAAACATCTGTTTTCTGAACTTCTCTTTACAAACAGTGGATAACAGAATTATTTAATATATTTATAGGAAAAACATTTCCAGTAGTCCCTCGCTACTTCATGGTTCATTTATTGCGGACTCGCTCTAATGTGGTTTTTCCAAATAAGATTGGACATGGGCAGCTGTGGCTGAGTGGTTAGAGCAGTCGTCTTCCAATGCAAGAGTTGGGGGTTTGAATCCACCAGCAGTCACATGCCGAAGTGTCCCTGGGCAAGACACTGAACCCCTCATTGCCTCTGATGTGTGTCCCATCAGTGTATGAATGTGATAAAGCTCTGATCAGTCTCTTTAGAATGATTTCAATTAGTTTTGTAGAGTAGAGTGTTGTATGAATGGGTAAATGAGAGCACAGATTGTAGTGGAAAGCACTTTGAGTATCTGGATAAGATAGAAAAGTGCTATATAAGTATAGTCCATTTACATGACACACAATTGGCTGGTTGATAGATGAGCTGCACTATCAGCATGGAATTTTTATTTAACATAAATTATTTAAAATTATTTAGCACCTGCTGCACTTTTGTGCAGCCCACACTGCAGGATAAGCTTTGTGCTGCAGCTGATCAGCTGTTCTCCGTGCAGAGCACAGAAGTGGGTGTGGTGCATGGCCAAGAGTGCTTGCAAGTGGCAAAGAGCAGAAGAGGCAGGAAGCCTAAATCATGACATTCTGTGCTCGTTAAGAGCGTTAAGAATTTAGAAACATTGTTTAGAATATTGCAAGATTGTGAGAAGGCTCTTCTCAATCTACCCAGAGGGTTTACCACTAGGATTATGGCTAAACCCCACTGCAGCCTCTCCTCCAAGGGGTATATCGAACTAATCTAGCACTTGAGTATTACCCAGAGTAACCTTAGGTTAGTTCTGCTTAAGGCTGTGTTGAAGGTGACTCACCCAGATTGTTAACGACCTTCATTTGCAAGTCACACCCTTATCTCACCCCGTGACTTGCCCAACCTAGCAGCCGGAGTTGGGTCGTTGCCCACGGGGAAACTTGCATTCACGGCCGCCCACCTTCGGTTGTAGAACTGCAATTGTTACAGATCTGGTATCTTTTAGAATCTAGGCATAAGATTCCAGGGTGTTGTTTAATCAAAGCTAAGAAACCTTTAAAAACCTCCTATTTTGTTAGAATTGAACCAAGCTCTTCAAATCCATGAGTACGAAGTGATGAAATGATAGTCCAGAGTTTTACATTTTCTGCTTTGCTTTAATTAATGATTTGCAGGGGAACAGCATTAACAGCTCAGTTTATGTGGTTACATTCAATTATTCAATAAGATCAATAATAATAAAGAGTTCAAGCGTGGTTCCAGGGAGTGCCCTGTTGCTCAGGTTGGACGTTCAGAGGATTGGGAGTCCACTAAGGTAATGATCTCCTGGCTCCATTTAGCTGAGTTGGGAATCTTGAACCCTGGTGCACAGGTGGCCCACTAACGATCATCCTCCTCTTTTTGGAATGGACTGTTATGCATTTGGAGCCCCAAAGCGTATTAGATCCCCCAAAACTCCCAAGACTGTCCACTGAGCTAAAAATGCTTCTGACCAAACTGTTAAAATCAACCTTGGCAGCACACAATTTATATGATAACTTTTCAAGAGGGCTGGAAACAGGACAGTACTCTCATAATCTGACCTTTTTCACCTAGATATAGAAAAGTCGCTGCTACTTTGTATATAGTTTAACAACTGAACAATATATCAGTGGTCGCTCACCATTCCTGTCTGAAGACCTTTTGAATAATGGCAAGTGAATCCTCTCCTCCAAGGCCCTGGAAGGAATCACCCTTAGCCCCCAAAAGCAGTCCTAATCTTGAGGGCTTGACTGAGCTCCTCAGTTACCAACACATGAGTTACATTTCAACTTGAATTTCTTACAACACTTCTCTTCTCGTTTGCTTCATTTATAACAATTACCTGTTTACTCAGGTCCTTATCTTATCATGGAATGCTCTTAGGCTCTCTCTAAGTGGACAATCACAAACCAAGATAAGGTAATGCACTCCCCATCCATCCTGGAATGCTCTTACATACAATCTAGGTGGAAACTCATAGACTAAGCAAGATAAGGTAATGCATTACTTTACAGCTCAGTCTCAATATGCAGTTTCCACTGTACTGAGCACAGATTATATTTTTAATCTAACATAATTTCAACATGCAGTGCTTACTTCATTCTAATCACTGAATACAGTAAATAGCCACGATAATCACAACATGCAGTGCTCACTTTATTCTAATCACAGAATACAGTATACATCTGTCACACTTGCAGCCTATAGGCAGGGGATGATTTCATCAACTGTGACATTACTCAACACTTTAAAAAGCCTTTATATATACAGTCAGTCAAAGTCAGAGTTTCTTTGTCATTTGCACCTCATGTGGTACATGTGGTGGAGCGAAATTATGTGCACAGGGTCCCAGTTACATCCAACAATAAAATGTAAAAGAAAAACAGTAATAACATCTAAGATATGAACTAAGAAAAACATCAACTAAATATACACTAAGCACTCATAACATAAAAACATTATGTCGAACATCAGCACAAACATGAACATGTCTGTGTGAGCAGATGAGCACACATGAACACATCAACATTGAAACAGATCAGCAGCAACATGATGTGGTTTTTCACAGTGATTATTCTAGTTAGAGATTCATGAGTCTAACAGCCTCAGGGTAGAAGCTGTTTCTCAGTCTAGTGGTTCTACACTTAATGGTCCTCAACCTCCTTCCTGAGGGGAGTGGGGCAAAAAGTGTGTGTACTGGGTGAGTGGGGTCCTTCATGATGCAGGTGGCTCTCTTCCTGCATCTAGAGGTGTAGATGTCTGTGATGGTGGGGGGACTGACTCTGACAGTCTTCTGTCCAGCCTTCACCATTCTCTGCAAAGCTTTTCTTTCTGCAGCTGTGCAGCCTCCATGCCACACGTTGATGCTGGAGCACAAGATGCTCTCCACTGCACACCTGTAGAATGAGGTGAGGACTGAGCTTCCCAGACCAGCTCGTCTCATCCGTCTGAGGAAGTAGAGTCTGATGAGCTTTCTTGATCAGGCTGGTGGTGGTGTTGCTCCAGCTGAGGTTGTTATTCATGTGTACACCCAAGTACTTGTAGCTGGAGACCACTTCCACCCAGATCCTCTTATGTTCAGCGGGGTGTAGGTGTTTTTGTTCCTTCTGAAGTCCACAATACAGATACCTTTCCAAAAAATTAAAATATCATGGAAAAGTTGTTTAACTTCCATAATAACATTCAAAAAGTGAACATTTAAAAGATGATAGATTCAGGGCCCACAATTTAAATGATTTCAAGTATTTATTAGTTTATTTTTACATAATTTGGGCTTCCAGCTCATGAATCCCCCGAAAACAGGATTTCAAAAAATTAGAATACTGTGAAGAAATCAGCCCAAATTTTGCAGGGCATGAATGCTTTAAACTGAGTGTGATACACTAATCATCTACTAAACTCAAAGCACCTGCACAGGTTTCCCCAGGTGTCATTAAATTGCTTGAGTTTGGTTCAATTGTCTAAGTTCAGTTCATTATGGAGTTCAATACGGGGAAGACTGCAGACATAATGACTGGCCTGAAGACCATCATTGATACCCTCCATAGGATGGGTAAGCCACATAAGTTCATAGCTAAGGAGGCTGGCTGTTCACAGAGTGCTATGTTCAAGCATATCAATGGAAAGTCTAGTGGAAGGGCAAAATGTGGCAGGAGAAGATGCACCAGCAAAAGAGATGACCGTGGGCTTCAGCGGATTATCAAACAGAGAAGATTCCAGAATCTGGAAGAGATCCAGAAAGAGTGGAATGAGGCGGGAGTCACAGCTTCAAAAACCACCACATTCAGACGCATCCGGGAGATGGACTACAACTGTTGGGTTCCTTGGTCCTCTTTTCCGATGAAAGTAAAGTGTGCCTTTCATTTGGAAATCAATGTCCAAGGGTTTGGAGGAAGAAGGGTGAGGAACAGAGCCCATACTGCTTGAGGTCCAGTGTGAAATATCCACAGTTAGTCATGATTTGGGGTGCAATGTCCAGTGCAGGTGTTGGTAACCTTTGCTTTCTTAAATCCAAGGTCATCGCAACAGTCTACCAGAATGTTTTAGAGGACTTCATGATTCCTTCTGCTGAGGATCTGTATGGAGATGCAGATTTCATATTATATCCATATATTTCAAGTATGTGTATATGTATATACAAACATATACATATATATATATATATACACACACACACACACACACATATATATATATATATATATATATATATATATATATATATATATATTTACATACAGGTTCTTCTAAAAAAATTAGCATATTGTGATAAAGGTTATTATTTTCCATAATGTAATGATAAAAATGAAACTTTCATATATTTCAGATTCATTGCACA